ATTATAGTGCCATCAGTCATCAAAGAATTAAATAAAAAAATAAGTTTCCTGGGATCATCCTCATAGTTTTCCTTTTCCGGAAAAAATATCTGTAGCATATCAGTGAGTAAAGTTTTTAGCTCTCTAAAATAAGATTGTGCCTCTCCAGAAAACATTTATTCTATTCCAAACGTGTAGCTACCAGATGATGTTGTGACTTGAAAACTACCAACCTCCCTAAAATTATACTTTGTGCCATCTGTATGAAGAACATTGTTTGTGCTATTCAACATAGCCTCTCTCGCTTGAGCTTTTGATAAAAGGTTAATTTCACTAAAAAATTAAGCAGCTAAAGATTTTTTTTGGATGTGAGCCACATGAAACTCTAGCCATTTTTTGTAGTACAGTTCTGATAACAGATTCAACATTATTAACAGAAACATTTTCACTTAAAAGGTCGTAATATACAGTGCGAATTTCATTATTATATCTACCTCCTTCAAAAACATCAATTATATTTTTTTCAAATATGTCAACTCTTTCCTTCAGCTCTTCTGTATGATTTTCGAAGTAATTCATAATGAATCATCCTTTTCATCAGATTTTTCCAAAACAGTGTTTTCAATTTTTTTCTTCAAATACCATGCTTTTTGTCGATCTGATTGTGAACGCTTTCTAGCCAAATCAATTTCTTTTTCCAATCTTAAATTTATTTTTAACAATTGGCTAATCCTACAATCCTTTCTAATGTGTCTTTTGTTGACATTTCTGACATTATACTTTGACAAGATTGCTTGATACTTTCTCTTATATTCATTGCATCTTTTATTTACTTGTCTATTTTGCAATTGAAGGTGATTAATTCTCCTTTTGCATCTTTTTATTTGATTGGTCAAATCACCAGAAAATAAAGGTAGTTTTTTATCTAAATTGGAAACTGGAAAATTCTCTTCACTAACACGCGTTTCAGTAAGAAATTTTTCAGACCTAATTTCTAAAGGAATGTATACAATAGAAGTTTGGGTAACAGGGCACGACAATTCATCATTAGTAATTTGCAAGTTTAAATCAGAAGATACAAAAACAGTAACTTGATTTGGAACAACTTCACTATTGTAGATAGAAGTAAGGGTAGAACAAGCATCAGAAGGTAACAAACCAACAACATCAGAAAAAGCACCATTGAAAGATAAAACAGAGCTTAAAAAATGTTTTAATAAGTCCAAATTTTTGGCTCGATTTAATTTTACCATGTAATCTTTGAACTTTTTTAAGATCCTTATAAGCATCACTCTACAAATATTATACTTACAGTAGGTTGTAAAAAATAATGAAAGATTTTCTAATGTTATGTTATGCTTATTTTTGTCTTTGCAAATTTGAAGAAAATGGCTATTGGTTAACATAAAATCAGGATATTTGAGAGAAATAATGCCATCATTTATATCCAGAAAATCCAAATTATTCAGGTTATTGCAGGTTGCTGTTTCAGACAACACTTTGGAGCTAAAATTAATATTAAATTTAATTTGAGTAATTTCAATAAATCTTTTGTTAATCAAAGAGTTGAAGTTTGATAATATCTAGCTTTGTGAAAATAAAAGGTAGATCATCAAACTTAAGATTCTATAAATAAAATTATTGAAATATAAAATGTTTGTTATACATTTTTCCGGATTTAAAAATTTAAAAAGTCTATCAAAGTATGACTTACATTCTTGACTTATAGATTGAACCACCATTTCACGTAGATTGTTAAGTTCACAGTCTAAAAGAAGAGAATTTGAATTTGAAATTAAAGTTCATTGGTTCTTTTACTTAGCCAATAAAAAAATATAAAAATAAATGAAAAAAAAAAAGAAAACATTCTTACACATTTCCATTTTGTGAACTTTAGACAAAAAGTTTAGTTGATTACTATTTCTTTTTGTTTTGAAAAAAACAGATTAGAGAATCTACAGACTAAAAGCAGTAGTAGAAACAGTAAGAATCAAGCTTGTAGTTGAGCAATCCAGACAAAATACCTTTAAAAATATAAAATCTTTATTTTTATTGCCTTAAAAACTTAATTCATTAATAAGGAATATCCTTTCACTTTCAATTTTATTTGTAGTTAAAATTTTGGAATTTCAAAATCAAAACAAAAAACGTCATAAAATACGCGAAGAAATATAGATATATATATATATATATATATATATATATATATATATATATATATATATATATATATATATATATATATATATATATATATATATATATATATATATATATATATATATATATATATATACATACATACATAATTCTAATATACAAATCCGAAGCACCTATTCTTTAGAAAAACATAATTAAACACTTGTTTTAAAAAGAGGAAAGGCTGAATTTGCCATTTCCACTTAAACACTTTCAAAATTCACTTTTTTTTCTATAATAATTAACCTTGAAGTTTTTAAACACTGAGAACTAAAAATTTATTTACAAATGTTAAAAAAGTGTTCACAATCTATTAGATTTCTCAACCTTTTTTTATATATACGGAAAGTTTTATAAAAATTGGATTTGTTTTGGTACTTCGGAATCCTTACCTCCAAAAGCTTCGTTTTAAAAAAACGTTCCTGCTTCAAGATTTTTTCTCAAAAGTAGTCTCAAGGTATGGATACTATTTAACTGAAGCCATATAAAGCCAGAGACGTATTTACGGGGGGCCAGGGGGGCTTTGGCCCCCGGGCGCCATGTTTTGACAGGGCGCCAGCTTTCAGAATGTTAGAATTTTAGAAAATTGTAAAATAGTCTATTTATATCATTTCACGAAAATTTTTATATTATTATTATGTTCAAATCATAGACCTACTTATCGACTTACTAAATATCTCTAGTTGATTTTAGAAAAATTTAGTTAGCAGAAGAAAATATCAATCAAAAGGAGATCAAATTAAACTTGCAAATTATACATAATTATGCGCCAATTATTCATATAAAAACGTTGATTTGATACTGAAAATCACGTGTCTAAACAAATTATTTATTTATTATAAATATTTTAATGATACGGTATGTAGCGATAGCTTAACGGTTAAGCTCATCACTCTGACGCTGGCGCTCCGAGGTCTACTCCTACGAGTGTTCTTATTTAATATACTATCTAATCTTGATATAAATAAAATTTATATTTTTTTTTTTGAATAAATGATTTATAATTTTTATTAATCAAATACTTGATCCTTATTTATTAATTAGTAAATAATATACTAGAAAAAAATAAATGGTGCGTTTTACCTAACATTTTCATTTTACTCTTAATTGACTTTATTAACAGAAATACTTAGGTATAGACACAGCTATTTACTTTTAAAAAATGAAATAATTCTTCAAAGATTCTCTTTACATTTTCTAAAAAAAAAAAACTCTTTAAAAGTACTTTAAACTTTAAATAATCAGTTTGTTTTTTAATTTATTTTTATATAATTTGAAGTGATGAGCAGAATAAATTACGCATTAATTATATTAAATTACCAATTTGACTTTGATCGCCTTTTTTGCTAACCATCTTGTATATACCACGTGTGCACAATATAATTTTGAATTTTTATGATTGCTGTCAGTTTTTTTTATTGTTGGCCTAAGTATTTTGTTCTTCGGTATGTTGTCTGCTTAATCCCTTGTATTACAGTATACAGTCTTGAAAAAGGTAAATATTCGTATTTCGATTATTGTTTTTAGTTTTAGTATTAACATTATTGTTATCATATATATATGATAACAATATATATATAGTACACACTTTTCAGGATTCTTATTTTAAAAAGCAATGATGATTCATAGTAAAAAGCTTAGTGGCGCAGAAAAGCTTAGTGGCGCAGCTTTACAGATAAAAAGCTTCACACATCGCCGGGTAAGTTTATTTAGCTAGAAAACCATACGTTTTATTAATTTTGCTTTCTAGCAAATATATATACATATAGGTACATATTGTTATGTTATTTATTGTTTATACGTCATATTGTTATGTTATTTATTATTAAATGTAAATAATTTATATCTAAAATGTAGATATGTGTAGTAATCGTTATTTATGCTTTCAGTTGAAAATGTAAATAATACAAGCGATGAAAATGATCACAGCTTTATTGTTAATGAGAATAACCTATCAAATCCAGACGATTTAATATTAATATTATCAAGTAAGAGCTGTACTGAAACTAGTAAAACTCTATTGACTCCAGAATCCAAAGAACTAAATGAAACACCCTGTTTGTCCATGCATGAACATAACAAGCCCGAATGTTTATTGTAAAATCTTTATTTAAAATTTGATATAATTTATAAATAATATCTTTTGGTACATGCATGTTATACAAAATTTATTATATTTTTCTCTATAGAAACAAAAATGATCACAGATTCACTGTTAATAAAGATAATCTAACAAATCCAGAAAATCTTATATTACTAAATAACAGCAGCACAGAAACGAGTAAAACTCTATTGTCTACAGAATCGGAAGAAATAAATGATACACCACGTTTGCCAATGGTTGAACATAACAGTCTTCCTAAACAAAGTATTGTTCCTGAGTAAGCTTTTTTTAATTTTTTTTATGGTAGGTTACAATTATAAACATGTACAAAGGTAGACTATTTTTTTAAGTCGCTTGTCATGTAAAATTATGCTGGAAATTAAATTATTAACAAATATAGTACACTCTGTACATTTTAAACGATACCTATATCCTCTAGTTATATTATATTATGCATTTATCTCTATTACCTAATGCTTGAATGTTTTTTTTATACAATTTGTTATAAACTTTGAATAATATTTTTTGGTTTTTGTATATTAAACAAATATATTTTCCCTTTAGAAATGATCCTGCCAATTGGATAAAAAATCAAGAAACGATAGATTATTTATCAATCAATGGATTTAAACAAAATTTAGAGAACAATAATTTCCAAAAGTCAAAAAGAATTTACACTCAAATAATTGGTGGGGTAAGACGTTCTCGTTTTCGATATATGTCAAAAAGTATATTTATATCTACTCTTGTTAATGGTGAAAAAATTAACCGAACATTTTTGATTTACTCAGAAAGTAAAAGATCAATATTTTGTGCTCCCTGCTATTTATTTGGTGGCACTACATCGTTTGCCACAGTTGGTTTTTCAGATTGGAAAAAAGGAGAAGAAAAAATCAAGCGTCATGAAAATTCACAACACCACAAATTGTGTGTAATGAATATGAAAGAAAGAAAAGAAGTATTAAATCGAGTTGATCAAAAGCTAAAGTATCAAGTAGAAACAGAAATAAATTATTGGAAAAATGTATTGACAAGAGTTGTAGCTGTTGTGAAATCCCTTTCTTCTCGTGGAATGTCTTTTAGAGGTGATGATGACCGTTTTGGATCTGTTCATAATGGGAACTTTATGATGAGCTTAGAGCTTATTGCTCAGTTTGATCCTTTTTTAGCACAACACATTGAGAAGTTTGGAAATAAAGGAAAAGGTTCAACATCATACCTATCATTTAATATATATGAGCAGTTCATAAGTATAATGGCAGATAATGTTATTCAACAAATGGTGAAAGAAATAAAGGAAGCTAAATACTTTTCCATCAGTATTGATTCTACTCCTGACATTAGCCATGTAGATCAACTGTCATTCATTTTTCGGTATGTTCAAAAGAATGGCTGTCCGGTAGAAAGATTTTTAGGGTTTTTACCTAATTCTGGTCATAAATCTGAAGAATTAGCAGATGCTGTATTTTTAGTTTTAGAATCGCATGGATTAGATATTAATAATTGTCGTGGTCAAAGTTACGACAATGCGTCTAATATGCCTGGTAGATACACAGGACTTCAAGCTCGCATTAAAAAAGTTAATCCTTTAGCAACATTTGTACCATGCTCGGCACACTCTTTAAATCTTGTTGGTGAGTGCGCTGTGGACTGTTGTATTTATGCTTCTGAATTTTTTATTCTGCTTCAAAATATTTATAAATTTTTCAGTGCCTCTACTTATAGATGGGAAATACTTCAGAAGAATTTGATTAAAACAGAAAATGTATCTCTTAAAAAACTATCAGATACCAGATGGTCAGCAAGATCTGATGCAAGTATTAGTTTAAACAAAAATTGGATTGAAATAATTAATGCACTGTCTTTTATTAAAGATGATAAAACAGAAAAATCTATTACAAGATCAGAAGCTAACGGGCTATATTTAAAACTGGATAGTCTTGAAACAGCTATAATGGCCACATTATGGGGCGATATACTAGAGAGATTCAACAAAACTAGCAAACAATTGCAGTCAGTTGAGATTGATTTAGAAACAGTTGTAAGTTTATACGAATCTTTAATTCGATATGTATTAGATTTAAGGAGTATGTTTGATATCTATGAAGAGAGAGCAATAAATAAGTCAGGACACAAAACATATCGAAAAATACGCAAAAGAAAAAGAAAACTAACTGCAGATGAAAAAAGAGAAGAAGAAACAAATTTTAAAATTCGAGACTCTTTAAGAATTAATACATATTATGCTATAATTGATAAACTTTATTCTGAACTAGAAAGAAGAAAATTGTGCTATGATGAAGCCAATAAAAAATTTAACTTTTTATTTCAAATAATAAAACTTTCGCCATCAGAAGTTTACAAAAAAGCAGAGGTACTTCAAAATGTATATAAAAATGATCTTTCGTCTTCATTTGCTAACGAGTGTATACAATTCAGAAGTTATTTAATGAGTTTAACTGAAAACTTAAGACCTAAAACTATAATAGATGTTTATAAAATGATCAGAACTGAAAAACTTCAAGAGCTGTTTCCTTATGTAGATACAGCATTAAGAATATATCTATGCTGCCCAACGTCCAATTGTTCAGCCGAGAGACCATTTTCAGCATTAAAGAGGGTTAAATCTTATTTGAGGTCGCGAATGACAAGTGATCGTCTTTATAGGTTAGCAATTCTATCTATAGAATCTGTACTTACCATAGATATGAACTTTAATGACATTATAAATACATTTGCAAAACAAAACTCACATAGAAAATTATAATTTTCTATAGTGATTAATGTAACTTAATATATGTTGGTATAGAAAATGTTTTTTTTTTTAATGATCACCCCATATCAAAGTTGACATTATTCTTAAAAAAGGGCGCTTAAAGGAACAGTGCCCCAGGGCGCCAAAAATTCAAATACGTCTCTGTATAAAGCATAGTACTTTTCATATATGACTGAAAAGAGGTTGAATAACACTAACTGATGCAAAATACCTCATGTTGTTTGCTTTTCTATACAAAAAGATATAAGAGAGCAAACTTCATGAAAATTTCGTGTTTTTTGTCAAACGTCAAATGTTTTTCACTTAGCCATATAATCATGGTGATTATAAGGCATTTCACATATATTAACTATGCTAGTGATATATGAGTGACTCCAATAATACAAAAGTTTGAAACAAAAATAATATCTAATTATTAAAAAAAGAATTATTTCAGCTTTAATAAAAACTTTATTATTATTTGAATATATTTTTTAAGATTCAAACGCGCCTACGTTTTACGACTTTAAGGAAAGTCGTTCAAACAATTAATTTCAATAAAATACGATCAATGAAGGGTTACGAAAAACAATGAAGTCGTTAATGCGCAAACAGTTATTTAATAAAAAAAAAAAGATAAATAGAAAAGGCCGGCTTTTTCATAGCATAAAAAAGTGGCTCTTTCAAAAAATTGCATGGTAAAAATAATAACCTGAAATTAAACATTTTTTACCTAAACTTTAATCTAATATTATTTGTAGAAAAGAAGAACACATATACATATAACAATACAGCATATATGTTTTATCAAATAATAAAACATTCTTTATCTTAAAAAGAAATAGTAAACCCCGAAAAAAAATTTTTTTGTTTTCAAAATTTTTAGTGCACTCTTACGATTTTAGTAGAACTCTAAATTTTTTGTGGGTGACAGGTATCCAGCGTTGCCACTCAAAAAGTAAAATACAATTATGGTTGGGTGCCAGTAAGTGAGATATAATAGCATCGGTTCTTTCAAAACCTGGCTCTTTCATACACACTCTCCCCTATTAAATCGCCCTGGATTACAAATATATAAAAATTACGCTAACCTTTTTAATCGTCTAAATAAAAAAAATAAAAAATCGACTCTTTCGAATTATCTTTTGAGAAGTTTGAAAACGCCTTTAAAATGTTAAAGTGTAACAAAGCAGTCGGTCCGGATGGTGAGAATGGCAAAATTATAATAAGTTTATTTGATGTTTTAAAAGATATACTTTTTAAGGGGCTATCCCCCCATAAAATTTCAAAATTTTCAATTTTTTTTTTTATTAATTTTAACTCTTTCAAACTATGCAGAATCATAAAATTCGTTTTGGATGTATCAGATTAATCTTTAACTATCTTAAATTGTCTATTTAAGTTAACAACCTCTTAAGTAATTTCCTTAGCAACGCCATAGCAACGCGCTTAAACAATTTTATACACCATACTTTTACCTTAATTTCATCCAAAATAGTGTTACACTTGCAATGCATAAGCTTGAACAACTTCTTGATGCGTTTTTCTGGAATTTACCAATACCTTGGTACATCAAGTACGACAATATTCTTCAGTTCAGTCAGTTCTTGAGATTTTATTGGTAAGCGAAAGATACTATGACTCAAAATGAGGTTTTGTTTTTTTTTAAAAAACGAAGACCAGATATATTACTGGTTTGAGGAGAAGTGTAGGAGAGTGCAGCTACATCGATTAATCTATACCTGTCTTAACCCAAACCCTCAGTCGATGTAGCAGCATTCCCTTGCATGTTATTCCTAAATTAGTCAATGTAGAAGCTTTCTCCTAAATTTCTCCCCAATTCAATAATATATCTGGTCTTCGTTTTTTAAAAAATCAAAACCTCATTTTGAGTCATAGTATCTTTCGCTCACCGATTTTATTAGGTTAGTTTAATTAGTAAAAATGGGAAAAGCTTGTCGAGTTAAGAAATGTACACAAACTCATAAAAAAAGGAAAAGATTTATGGGAAATGTTCAAAATTCTGTTAATACTGTTATTGTATCTGATAGTACTAATATCGAATTGCCGACAATAAATCCAAGTGCCCCTAACATCACTTGTGTTACTGAACCAATTTTTGAAAATCCACCTAATTTATCCGCTTCAGCTCATAAAATCGAAAACCTAAAAGATAAAATTATTTCAAAACCTGCCATATCTGGTTATCGTATAATTTATGTTGCTGTTTTACTGTCTATTTTAAGTTTTGTTCTGTGTCCAGAGTGTGGTTGTTCAACACTCTCACTAAGTGGAAGATATACTCAACGACGTGGTTTATCATCCTTACTATATCTGAAGTGTATGAAAAGAGCTTGTAACTATTTTCAAAAGTTCTACACTTCTAACTATGACAAATATAAAAGGATTTGATATCAATAAACAAGTAATTTATTGTATGCGATTATTGGGTCATGGATATGCAGGCATCAAAAAATTTTGTACCATTATGAATCTACCTAAGCCAATGACCAAAAACAATTTTGAAAAACTGATAAAAGTAATTTTAAAAGCTGTTAAAAATGTAGCAGAACGAACAATGTTAAATGCTGCTAATAAATTGCAAAATACAGCTTTGAAAGTAACCGATATTTGTTTATCTTGCGATGGAACATGGCAAAAACAAGGATACTCATCACTCAACGGAGTCTTTTCTGCCATCTCTACTGTTAGTGGCAAAATTTTAAATGTTAAAATCATGTCCAGATATTGTAAAGGTTGTAATTTAACTCAAAGCCTCCAAAAATCTGATCCAACTGGTGTTGGCATCACTATTTCATGATGCTTCCTCAAAAAATAATAGCTTACATTTCCCACACTGCCTCACTGGCGCAGACAGCTGGTGCAAATACAATGCCAATAAAACAAATAAGACATCAACCTATAAGCCGGAACCAGGCAAGGGTTGAATTAACGCATCGCGAATTGCGGTATCTGTTAAATTATCTGGTCTTCAAAGTTTCAGTTTATGGAAAACCACGAAATTTACGGAATAGGCGAATAAACTTTAATTTGTTAGTGAAAATGTTATGAAAAACAAAACAATAAATTTATGACTACAAAAGTAATAACACTACAGTGTTGTTACTTTTATAACACTCTTTTAAGTTACATTTATAGTTTACTGTTTGATCAAACAACGCATAATCAAGCTATTATAAATAAAAATGATTTAGTTAAGTAATTCCAAACTTTAATTAAAGTAGTAATGCATCTAGAAAAAATACAACGGATATTTAAACAATGTTAAAAACCTAAGCAACTTTTACGAATACATTATTTTATAAACAGTTTAGCATTTCTAAACATCTTACTAACGGTCCGGAAAAAACGCGCGTTCACTTTAAAATCAACCAATGAAAACACTGGTAATTTACTTCTTAGGATAAATCTATATTAAAAGGGGAGGGGTGAGGAGGCTATAAACTTAAATTTTGTTTTATTATTTAATCAATTAAATCATAATAAAAGTAAAGACAAAAAAATTATATTTCTATTTATACTTCTTTATAACTAAAATTTATTAAATTGAACACCTCTGTTTTTAGTTTTAAGTAAATGTCAGTACTACTCTCAGTGGCGAAACTGCGGGGGGGGGGGGGGGGGCAACTTTAAAATCAACTAATGAAAACACTGGTAATGTACTTACCAGGAGGGAGGTTATATGGGGAGGGGGCTATAATTTTTTTTTACTAATTAGTTAATTAAATAGTAATAAAAGTAAAGATAAAAATATATATTTTAAAGTATACTTTTTTATAACTAAAAGTTACTAAAAATTTGTTATAAAAATTCGTGGTTTATAATATAAAGCGCTGGCTATTAAACCATGCATTTAAAAAATATATGCAAGTCCTTCGTACCACTAGATTACAGAGGGACTTGAAAGAGTGTCCCAAAGAAATTTAATTGTAAAAGGTCTATAAAGTAAAGTTATTACAAAAGAAAAAAGACATCCATAAAAATAAAAGTTAGACATCAGGGTTAGAACTATCGCTTTCTCTTTCAAAATCTGATATTGTTAATACAGATAGATCAATGGAAGATTTTGCTGCAGATAATTTTCTTCGTTTATCTGGGTAGCGATGAGGTGCAGCACTAAGTCTTCTTATTTTATCTTGATACCAAGCATCCAGAGCAGGGTTTGGGTCAAATTTATTCAAACTGCATCCTTTTTCTCCGATTCGTAAAAGACATTCGAGTCGATCACGTGATAATTTATTTCTCCAATCAGATTTTACTCGATTAACGCGGGAAAACATACGTTCAACTTTAGCGTTTGTAAATGGACAAAGCAGAAGCAACTCAAAGACATCTAATATATTTCGACATTCTGCAATAATTATATCTGTCAAAAATATTTTTTTCCAAATTTTTAAATAAATTTCACCTCCTGAATTACGTAACATCGGAAATATATAACTCTTTAAGATAATCCACTCAATGCTAATTTTGTTGGTATCACATCCTCCGTTTTTTAAAAGTTCGTTAAAATATATTACAATTTCCGCTATTTCTTTATCTCCAAATATACAATCAGGGTTTACGGGCCAAAAAGATACGTCAAGCAGAACAATTAAATTTTGAAATAAAGGAGAAAACGTTATATCTTTAAAACGGAAATTCATACAATTTGTAATACTAGTTATAGTATCATTATAAAGTCGTTGCACCAACGAATTAGATTTATTAAAATTTTGTAGAATAATGTTTTGATAAATAAAATTACCATCCTTTTCAGTTACGTTGCCAATTAATTTCTTGTAATTCGTTAAAATCGTTTGCTCTGTACACATTTTGTCGACGGAATTACTCAAAATAATACGAAGTTTCGCCATTGTCAAATTAAATTGCTGTACCCTGCGGACTGCTTTGACTGGATCGTGTAAATCTTGCTGGAAGGCAATACTTAAGCGTCTTAACGGAGCTAGAACGTCTAAATAAACAGATAAATGTATCACAAGAGAGGCTTTTTTCCACAATCGAAGAAATCCCTTTAATTCAGCTCGCTTTGAAGGCTGGGAGTCTGTTTGGCTGAGAGACTCTAAATGCGAAATATATGCACCATAGTTTTCTAAAGCGATGTTCATTGCATTCCATTTGTGGTCAAGCCAACGTGTACCGTACGATTTTGCAGGCTTAGGGATTGATGTTTCCCAAGCTTCCGATATAAGTTTTAATTCTCTTAAACGTTTTGGAGATTGTTCATAAAGAGAACGTAAATTTAACAAGAAGGTTTCGCAAATTTCAAATGCTGCAGTTTTTTCAAAAGCATCTTTTAAGGCAAGCTCAAGACGATGGTTGAAACAATATATTAATTGAAGCCAAGGAGAATCTAACTTTAATAAAGCTCCTAAACCTGAGTGAATACCAAGATTTACGCTTGCTCCATCCACGTTTAACCCTACAAGTTTTTTGGACATATCAGATATACCAACTCTTTCAAACGATTGTTTAAGGCAGTTTTTTAAACCACTAGCATTACCATTATCAGGACTTTCGACTGATAAAAGTTTCACACACGGACTACCTTCTAGCAAATACAACACATACACTAATTCTTGTTCAATTGTAGCACTATCGCAACTGCCGTCACTTAATACAGAATAATATCTTGCTTTTATAAAGTCTTTTTTGAAAAGATCTTTAGCTATTTCACCAATGTAATCCGTGAAAATACCAGCGGCTTTATTAGTTGCGTAACTTTCACCAAGATTTTGAACACCATTTTTTTTTAATAACTCTAATAAATCAGGGAAATCAGTAAATGGGCGTTCTTTTTTTGCCAAGTAATAAACTGCGTTAAATTTCTTTTGGAGTGAGTCGCGATCTTTTTCATCAATTTTTCGTTGATACTTTCCACGAGGATCAACGGGGGTAAGAGTTTTTTTGACGACACTTTTTTGGTAACCACCCAAACCCAATTTACTCCGATAATCAATCCGATGTGCCTCTTTATGTTGAAGAGTATTACAGTGACTTCTTACACTGTCTTTTTTAATGGATGGAGTTCCGGGGCGAATCCATGCAATAGAAAATGTTTTAATGTTTTTAATTTGAGTTTCATATTGTTTGCACAACGAACACCGCAATCTCACAACGTCAGTGCCATTAACATCGTACTCAAACTTAAAATTAAATTCTTTTTCCCATTTTAGAAATGTACTTAACTTGCAATGATTATCTTTAGTTTTTGACAACAACAAAGACGCCATGTTTTTTATATTATTAATACTTCTTGTAAATCACGCAAATCTTTGAAGAATAACCTTGAAGTCATTCATTGAGGCAAAATAATAATTATTTATACTATTACACTGAGGTTAAAACACATTTAAAAGTGTTTAAACATCAATTTTTAAATATCTTGACCTTATTGAACAATTATAAAAGACATGAACTATAGAAACTTTAGTTAAGGATTTTTTAAATGCCATGGTTACTTGCAATAAAAAATATGTTGCGGTAACTCCTACATACATCCTACGCTATTCAGTAACCAGAACAACAAAATAATAATAAATCTAAGCATCTTAAATATAACCTTTTAATTCAACCCATGAATTTATATTTAAATGAAACTCCTTAATTCAACAACTTCTTCAATCAACGACTACTTTATATTGTAATAAAAATGCTTTAAGGTGCTTAATGGGGGAAGAGTCGATAATTTTTGGAAAACTTCTCCACCCACACCAAGCTTATTAAAACCCAACCCCAACCCCGTTTTGTTCATTTTCACTTGTTATAAACAAAAAACTATATCTCAAAACAAAAATTCAGTGAAAATTGGCCTTAAAATTAAACAAATATATATTGGTAACCAATAAATAATAAAACTGTTATTGTAAATTCTCTCGCTTTTTTTTATTATTTCCTCCTCCCATTTTATACATCCGGACTAAAATTCCCATCCCCACCTACTTTTGTATTAAGCACATTAGAGTAGTCAGTAGCAAATTTCCCCCCCCCCCCCACCTCCCTGCACAATTTTCAAAATGAGCCCCACATTGCCCATGCAACCTAAAATTAGCTTAAAAATAGAGCACTTTTTGACTGCTACTCCTCCCCCTTTCTTCTCCCCCCCCCTCCCCCCCGCAGTTTCGCCACTGAGAGTAGTACTGACATTTACTTAAAACTAAAAACAGAGGTGTTCAATTTAATAAATTTTAGTTATAAAGAAGTATAAATAGAAATATAATTTTTTTGTCTTTACTTTTATTATGATTTAATTGATTAAATAATAAAACAAAATTTAAGTTTATAGCCTCCTCACCCCTCCCCTTTTAATATAGGTTTATCCTAAGAAGTAAATTACCAGTGTTTTCATTGGTTGATTTTAAAGTGAACGCGCGTTTTTTCCGGACCGTTAGTAAGATGTTTAGAAATGCTAAACTGTTTATAAAATTATGTATTCGTAAAAGTTGCTTAGGTTTTTAACATTGTTTAAATATCCGTTGTATTTTTTCTAGATGCATTACTACTTTAATTAAAGTTTGGAATTACTTAACTAAATCATTTTTATTTATAATAGCTTGATTATGTGTTGTTTGATCAAACAGTAAACTATAAATGTAACTTAAAAGAGTGTTATAAAAGTAACAACACTGTAGTGTTATTACTTTTGTAGTCATAAATTTATTGTTTTGTTTTTCATAACATTTTCACTAACAAATTAAAGTTTATTCGCCTATTCCGTAAATTTCGTGGTTTTCCATAAACTGAAACTTTGAAGACCAGATAATTTAACAGATACCGCAATTCGCGATGCGTTAATTCAACCCTTGCCAGGTTTACCAATGGATTTCATAATGAAAGTAAGAACTATATTTAAGGATTTAAGGAAAGACATTGAGTTACAAAAATGTTTGCACGGTAAGACACAAAATGCCAATGAGTCTTTTTATGGAATGATTTGGAAGCGTATACCAAAACAAACATTTGTATCACTTACCCAATTAACAATTGGTGTATATGATGCTGTTGCCAATTTTAATATTGGAGCAAAAGCATTTATTGATATTTTGAAGCAACTGGACATGGAACCAGGCTTTCATATGATTGCAGAATGCAAATCATTAAATAATGAAAGATTACAAAAAGCAGAAATTAGAATGAACCCTGTTAAAAAGTTAAGAAGGCAAGTATTACGTGCCAAGAAACTGAAGAAGAAGGAGAAAATAATTGAAAAAGAAGGTGACTTGTATGTTCCTGGTGGATTTTGAAAACTTTGTTTATTTTTCAACAGTTTTTATGAAAAAAATTGTATTGTTTTCAAAAATTTTTACTTAAATTGTCTTTTTCTCAAAATAGAAATTTGTGCACGCCGGCCAAATTATCTGGAGAACCGTATTACATTTTTGTATGAAATTTTCAGGAAGTGTTTATCATATTATACTCTGTGAAATGAATGGATTGGAATTTATTTATTTTATTAAAAATATATATATATGACCTAAAATCGATGAAAATTTTGACCATGATCTTTGATTGCGCCATTTTGATGATGGCAAAATGTTATGAAAAATCTGATCCATTCATTTCACAGCCCTACTTTATGATAATATTGTATTAAAATTTTAATAGGTAAATATGTGCACATATTCTTATATTTTGGCCAGCGTGAAGTTATTTTTTGGTCATTTTAGGGATATTTTTTGGTTACCAAGGAAACCACCATTTTTTTTTTATTTTTTTTTCAAAAAGGTTTATATTTTACTAAAACCTAGAAACCCATAACATTTTTTTTTTAAATACTTAGATTTAAAAACAGAGGGGGGTAGCCCCTTAAGGTCTTTTTAATTTCAATTAAACAGGGAATTTTTCCACAAGCTTTAAAATTAGCAAAAGTAATACCATAATAAAAGTAGTAAATAGGAGCAAAATTAAGCGGCCGTGGCGCACTTGCCTCAGAAGCGTAAGATCCGTGGTTCAAACCCCACCCTGGGCAAGTTTTACCAAATCGGTTGGGAAGGAGGCGTGAACTTCCTATTAAAAAGTTAGAATGGTACAGAATAACTTGAGATATTTTAATTTGGCTAAAAAGCTACCTTAGTAATAAAAAACAATTTGTTTATGCGGACGAGAATGTATCATACAATTTTTTGAATGTGGAGTGTAGAGTTCCTCAAGGATCCATTTTAGGACCTCTCTTATTTTTTAATATATATTAATGATCTATCTAAAGCCTCTAACCTAACAACAGTAATGTTTGCTTTAGTTTAAAGTAAAAAGATTTTAAACCTTTGGAAAATATTATAAGTATATATATATTTTAAATATTTACATTTTTATACTGAGACACAAAATTTATTTAGACTCGTTCCAGATTACATCATATATAATATAATCGATGTATATATATATATATATATATATGTATATATATATATATATATATATATATATATATATATATATATATATATATATATATATATATATATATATATATATATATATATATATATATATATATAAACAAAAGTTTTAATTCAGGGACAGCGCGAGTAAGTGTCATGTGTGGGGGGGGGGGTGCCATAACAACTTTTGACGACTAAAAAATTAAAAAAAAAAAAAAAAAAAAAGGGTCCTCGTTTTCCAAAATTTGCCGACTGTATGACGACATTTGCCGAGTGTCTAACCTATATCGAAAGGGTCGACATTTGCCGACTAACTAGTCTAAAAGGGTCCAATTTGCCGACTAAAAATCATTGATCATGATATATATATATACCTCATACTAATTATTAAACTATTATTCGAATGAGATAGAAAGCTTTCTTCTTTCTTAAAAAATCAAATAAATAAAGAAGATATTAAAAAATCACGACGTTTTCAATAAAAACGACATTAATACATCTTCAAATTGTTTTATAAAATTAAAAGATCATAAAGAAAACTTTACAAATAATCCAATTGTACGTTTATTAAACCCTGCCAAAAATGAAATCGGCAGAATTAGTAAAGTTATACTTTCTAATATAAACTCTAAACTTGTAAAGAAAATTCATCTTAATCAGTGGGAAAAAACTCAAGATACCATAAACTGGTTTAATCGCATCAATGATAAACTGGTTTAATCGCATCAATGATAAAACATTGATCTATCATGCAAGAAAATTATTATTATTTAACGATGATCAAGTTTGGATTAAAAAATCAAGCGGTTTATTCGATGTTGCAATGGGAGCATTCGATGGTGCTGAAGTTTGTGTTCTTGTAGGAATTCAAATTTTGATTCAAGTTGCACAGTTTTATGATAAAAATGATTTTGGATTGTACCGCGTTGATGGTTTAACAGTTTTTAAAATAATGAGTGGTCCCCAAATGGGAAAAATCAAAAAACATTTTGTTGAAATATTAAAAAAAAAAAGAACTCACTATATCAATACAGTGCAACATGAAAATTATAAACTATCTTGACGTCACATTAAATCTCAACGACAACACTTTTTAACCATATTCGAAGCCAGAGAATTCTAAAAACTGTATTCATGCTAATTCAAACCACCCGTCTAATATTTTAAAACAGCTTTCGCATTCAATTGAGTTAAGATTGTCTGCAAATTCGTCAAGCGAAAAAATCTTCCAAAGATCTACTCCTATGTACAATGACGCATTATTAAGATCCGGTTTTAATCACAAACTTTCATATCACCCTAATTTAAATTTACCACATACCAAAAACCGTAAACGAAACATCATATGGTTCAACCCTCCTTTCAGCAAAAATGTTAGCACTAATGTAGGAAAAAGTTTTTTAACCTTAATCAACAAACACTTCCCAAAAAATCACAGACTCCACAAAATTTTTAACAGAAACACGATAAAAATAAGTTATAGCTGTATGCCGAATATGAAATCTTTTTTAAACGCACACAATCAACAAATTATGAACAACAACAAAATTCCACCTAAAACCAACTGCAATTGCCTTAATAAAAATATCTGCCCTTTATCAAACCAATGCTTAATAAAAAACATTGTATACCAAGCCAATATAAGTTCCAATAATCCTGTCAACAAATCCTACATTGGTATAGGTGAAACACCATTCAAACTTAGATATCCCAACCTTATAAAATCATTTAACATTCTAAAATACAAAAATGAAGAAATTTGGAAATTAAAAGATGCCAACTTAAACCCAGTTGTCAAATGGAAAATAATTAAGCAGTGCAATGCTTACAACCCAACCACGAAGTCCTGCAAA